GACACTTTGCACATACACGCTTTCCCTCCCTTTTTCTACTTTTCCACATGATTCTGCATTTTCCTAATTTTCTACAATGAGGATGTATTAATTTGAGGGCAAATGAAAGGAAATTTCTTTTTTTTAAAGTAGTAAACCAAAAAGCCACAAAGAAGAGAATGCCTTCCCAAGTGAAAATCAGAAATGACCACGGAGTTTTAATTAAACTCATCCACACAGTATCTAAAATATCCACTTAAAATCTCATCTCATTAAGCTAGCAAGGTAATTTAATCCTATTAAGATCAACATGAATACAGAAGAGTTGTACCATTTTAACCAAACTGCCCTTTTCTCTTTGTCCTTGTCACAAGCAGCCTTTGGGTTATTTGATAAAAAGACATCAGAAAATAACATTTAATCAGCCTAAGATGTGGCCCAGGAATCTGTTTTTTTGTTTGGTTTGGGGGACACTTAAGTGATTCATATAATCAAGAGATAGAACACATGAGAAGGCAGCATTAATTTACTGGAGAGCTTCCTACATAAAACCAGGCAGATGCAAAGGAAAAGCTGAGCTGTTCCCAAATAAAGACAGTCTCAGTGTCCTGCACAGTCTCTCTGTGCCTGAGTCCTGTGCCCTAATCATGGAGTCCCTGCGGCCAGCCCACTGACACCAGGGGTGGGCTCAGGCAGTTCCCTTAGCCCAGCTGGCTCAGAGCAGACTTGCCTCTGCAGCCCCAGGGAGAGCAGCAAGACTCTGGGAATCCCCATCAAGGCTTCCTTTTACCTTAAAGAAACTTCCTCGCTTGTCCAGACTGCGGGCACCCATGGTCCAAGCTGACATTTCCCCCAGCGAGGCTCCAGTGCACGCCGGGGACTCCTGAAGGCAGAGACATTTTTAATGGTTAGTCCAGGCTGTAGGAAATTCCTTTCTAAGCCACAGAACACTCACAACAACAGTCCTGCCAAGATCTTTCTCCGTCAACAACACAGTGCCATTTATTTCCCACCAGGCCCTTACATCTCCTTTCAGCGTGATTTCCTGCCGGCGCAGTTCCTCGTCTGTGGCCCACCTCGCTGCCCCCTCCCACCTCTGCAGCTGACGTTGGTGGTGCCTGGTGGGAAGCATAACCAGGGCTTTGTGTGTTTGCTTGACCTCACGCTGAAGTCCAAAAGGGGACCAATGTTAGATGTGCTCATACTCTGCTCTGAAAGCTTATAGATTTAATGTGACTGATCACAGAGGGACAGCCAAAGAATGAAGTCCTAGTGTCCCAGGAAGTCCCGCTGGAAGGGGGTGAGGTCATCCTTAGCTCTGCTCACCCCCCCCCCCCGCAAGGTCAACAGAAGGGCACCGGGAAGAAATCCCTCTGTTTTTTCCTTAGAAATCAGAAATATTTGGATGAATCCTGTGTCACTGTTTACAGAGATCAGTTCATGGAAGGGGACAATGTGTAAACAGCTTTATATTCATCCAAGGGGGTGCGGGTGCACTTTGGAATCCAGAGAAAAAGTGAAAGGCGGGATAACAACCCAGTTCTGAATTATAAGGGCGGCTATCTGATCTTGGAATTTGCCCTGCTGGGGTATCAAAGCCCAATAATCCTTCCTTGGGGCCACAAACCCTTCAACCTTCGCTTCTCATGGGGACACGTACACACCTCGGGGTGACCCAGACCAGAGTGACTGAGCAGAGCCTGGGGAGCGTCTGCAAACCCTTCCTGGCCCAGTGAAGCTGCACCAGGGGCAAGAATAAAACCACCTCCCCTTCCTCACCCAGCTCTTCGTGCCACAACAGGCACAGAACACAGCTTGTCCCAAACACGAGCAGCACAGTGGAAGGGCAGTGAAGGAGACAGTCAGTGAAAACATTCTCGCATCATCACGGAGAATTAAAAGCAGTTCAGCTGCAGGCTTGGGGCGGGGGAGGCGCCGAAGCCAAGGCAGCTGCTGCAGGTCTACTGAGGCCATTTCATTATTAGCTAGGCGGCAGAGACAGTGGCACAGAAGGGACATGGAGGGTGGCATTAGGGATGTTTCAACAAGTGGGAAGCCATAAATGCATCGCTGAGAAGTGGCGAGGCAGCTGTGGTCTCGCAGGGAGGCTCCCTCGGCCCTGAGATTTGCCTGTGATGACCCCCGTGGAATCTCATCTAGGAAAACATAACCCCGCGGGGCACCCCCACCCCGCCTTCCAGGACCTTCACTTATCCGAGTACTTGCTCCGTGGCTCGGTCACTTTAAAGCTTTAGCGGCATCTTCCCTACATTTCTTTGCACTTGGGATCCCACTGAGCTGAAGGCCAGAATTCCAAAGGCCTCCGGAGAAGACAGGGCGCGATTTCGCAGACTCCAGAGGCTCAGGCCCCCGGGCTCATCCTAGCAGAGCGCGCAGGTTGGAGCAACTCCAGGCAGAGAGCACAGCGCGCGCTCAGAGCGGGGAGCAGAGAGGGCGCCGCGCTCCGCCGCCGCCGAGCGCCAGGGCCAGACGCGCACAGCAGAAGCCGCAGCTGCTCCAGGCCGCACCCGCTGTCTGTACTGTCTGTGACGCCTTCTCTTTTTCAGACGTTTTCCCAGCAGGGGCTTTACGTAGCCTGGCAGTTCAGGAATGGCTAAAGGACAGCCAAGACTTCATTTCTCATCCAGACTAAGTTTCTTTGTTCTGTTCTGAAGTTTTCCATATACAAACCCTTTCTGATGAGCCAGGTCAGCCAGGGAATTTTGCCTATGGCAGTGGAGCAGCTTGAGTCCCAGAAGCGAATGAGTTTGTTTGAGCTAGCTGCCTGAGAGCTGCAAGCACGCGCCCTCACCTCAGCAGCCCTCTGTCACTGTCTGGTTTGGACTCCATGTGGGACAGGCAGATCTGGCAGATCTGGCTACTTCCTGGAAAGATGCAGGTGGCACTTCCCCTTCCTGTTCAGGCTGCTCCAAGCCGGAGATGAGAGAGGGGGACAGGAGCACACTGCCACACGTCACAGCAGGTACATCCCACAGAATGACAGGCCAGCAGACAGGGCATACCTTATTATTATTTTTTCAGATAAAGTTCGTAAGAGCCCAGAAGAAGTTCTGGTTTAAGGTTCTTCCCGTTGCAGCTCTGGTTTTCTTCCCAAATCACAAGGTCATCCACCCTGACTCAGTACCGACAATTTAAAATGATACCCTCTCCTTTCCACTCATGGCTCCCCATGCCTCCCTGCAGATGTCACCCCAGCCATTTCATCCTAAAACCACCCGAGTAACAGGCTGGAGTAAGAAACAGAAAGGTACCTTAGTGAGAGAGGCTGTGAAATTCCTCCAGAATTACAGGAGTGGAAGCTCGCTCTCTTCCTGGTTGCCCGGAAGGGTAAGTGGATTCTTGAAAAAAAGAGCCCAGCACATCCAGTGGATCTTTCCAGAGGCTAGCTAAAAGCTAGCAAAAAAATAAAAGATTAAAAAAAAGGACAGCCCTAATGGAGCTAAGGGCGCTGCAAACATTTAGGAGCTGCCAATAATACCACCAAGAGAATGTGAACAAGCTGGTTACTCCGTCCAGTCAGGGCTAACGGAGGTAACAGAGAAGCCAGTACTCCCCGCTGCCCTGGAAACACCGCGCTCTGTCTCTTTATAGCAAAACTAGTGGTGGCTTTCCATGTCGCCCGAGAGTGACTGCTGAGGTGAAGGAAGATCTGTCCTTAAAAGCAGAAAGGACGGCGGAGCCTTCTGGCCGTGCTCCAGGCTGTGCCGGCTGCTGGCTGAGCACCGCTCAAGGCTGGTTCTCCAACCCATTCTGCTGACAGACACTGAGGCCAGGTGCCAAGGCCACCACCTGGACCTTGACTGTGGCTGGGCATCTGGGCCTGAAGCACAGAGTGCCCAGTTTCCAGTTCGCTGATCAGCATGGCCGGTTGAGTCCTTGGCTTTCCTCCCCAGCAGCGCTGCCTGTCACCAGGCCAGATCTTGGCAAGATAAAGGGTCTGGGACGTGTTGAGAGAGGGGCTTGTTCTCTTCCTTCTCCTTCCTTCCCCTTCTCTTCTTTTATTTAGGCAAACGGGACCCTTGCTATTTTGAGGAAGGTATTTTGTTTCATTATTTTAATTGACAAGCTGAAATTACATATGTTTACGCTGTACAGCATGACGCTTTGAAACAGGCATACATTGTGGAATGGCTAAATCAGACTCATTAATATATGTATTACCCCCCATGCTCATCACTTACTTGTAGTGGGAACACTTAAAATCTTCTCTCTTTGCAAGTTTTAAGTACACGCTGCATTGTTCCTGACCATCCTCACCACACTGCCCACCAGGCCCCTCAGCCTTGCTCCCCTGTCTAACTGAGGGTTTGGCTTCTTTCAGCAACATCACCCCAATCCCTTGTTCCCTCCTTCCTATTTTATTTGCTTTAGGTCATAAGTGCAAACCCATAAGAGAAGCAGCAATTTCAATTATCCTGGAATACACCACTCACAAGCCTGTTTTAAAAGACTCCTGGCGAATTGTTTTTCTTTCTAGCAGCTGAATGAAGCAGGGTAGCATGGACTTCAGTCTCAGTAAACAAGACCTCATTATTATAATTATTTTACAGCCAGATTGAGGGAAGTAGGAGAAAGTGACTCACCCCGGGGTGGGGGGTGGGCTGTCAGGTCAAGTCCGAATCTGAGAAACGCACTTCACCTTTTTGCCTGGCTGCCGAGCCTGCCCCTGCAGCATCGGGGCTTCTCTCTTTTTAATGCTTTTCATCTTTTCTGAGAGAGGTGGAAGCAAGTGGCGGCGCTGTGTCTGGATCCAGGGAAGGTTTCTGAATATTTCCGTAATTATCTTCGCATTACCACAGATTTTACAAGTTGGACAGAAAAACGTTATTCCAGTCTCTGGCTTGACAATTCAAGCTATGTGAATTAAAATAAATAAATAAAGCACTGGTTTTCCCCTACTTCATAGTCAAAAAAATTTTTAAACAGTTTTAAGATCACGAAAAGTTTTCACTGAAAAGAGAAACTAACTTATGAAAAAGTAAGAAGTGAGAAGCAAAGAGCTCTGTTCCCAGGCCCCATACTTAGTGTTTTCAAAGAGAAGTAGGAGGAACAAGGCTTAGCACCTCAGCAGTCCTAAAACTGAGGAAAAAAACCCCAAGGTGCTGGGGGTAAAACTGCCATTTCTACCACTTACAGGACTGGCCTGGAGATGGGACTGATTCTGTGGAGAGTCATCCCTCCTATGCTTGGAAAACTACTGGTTCACAGACCTGCAGAAGTGCTTAGCCCAGAGAGCTAAGTGCCCAGAGAGCCACTGGGCATGCCCCCCCCCCCAGGGTAACAGGTGGGGCCCTCTGCTTATTAAAAGTCCTCCTTTTGGGGATAGGAATCTGCCTCTCTGACTTCCCACCCAGTGCTCTCATTTTTTCCTTGGGCCATTCAAAAATTAGCCTCTTACACATCTCTCTTCTTCACCCTGCAGACCTCCCTCTTTCCTCTCTTGAGGGACAGTTTCTCTTGAAATGTGGCTCAGGCCTCAGGCTGGTGGACTCTGCCCACCTGGAGCACGGCTGAGGAGAGTGAGCGAAGAAGGCACTTCCAAGGTCAACGAAAAGTTAGGTGCATAATTGACTCTTGAGCTCTTGGACAATGTGGGCAAAGGGAAGCCCCAAGCTTCCAAGGAAGACAACAACCCCCCTAATAGCAGAAAGTCCAAGTCTAACTTTTGACTCCCCCCAAAACTATAGCACTAGCAGCCTGCTGCTGTCAGCTGTTGTGAGGTAAGGCAGGCATCCTGAGCAGTAGATTAACACGTACTTTATCCACTGACAACATGCCTGTTTCTTAATTTTTTCAATATTCCTAGGCTACATGGTTTATCTGAGAGTTTCTTCAAATTGTCACAAATTTCCAAAAAAATTTTGCCAACAAATTTATTGAAAAAAAATCCAAGCGGGTGAGGATTTCTTAGGCAAACGCATATAATCCGCAGCCATCCATCCTTTGCACGGTGGCGGCTGACCTCGGTGGCCTCCGAATAACAGCTAGGCCAAAATGAAGTTCAATCCCTTTGTGACTTCGGACCGAAGCAAGAACCACAAAAGACATTTCAATGCACCTTCCCACATTCGCAGGAAGATTATGTCTTCCCCTCTTTCCAAAGAGCTGAGACAGAAGTACAATGTTCGATCCATGCCCATCCGAAAGGATGATGAAGTTCAGGT